TTTGCTGAAATAATTTTATGTGACTGTGCAGAGTCAATTCAATTCAATGTATTTTTATATAGCACCTTTCACAGCAAGGTTGCCCCAAGGCGCTTAAGAAAGCAAGTGACCATACAGGTTGTGAATACAGAACAGAAAAGACCAGAAGACAACGGAGGAGAGGAACCAAAAACTCCTCAGTAAGGAGAAAAAAAACCTCTAGGGGTTCAAGGTCAGCTGGCTGCCCAAACCCTTTGGGCATGCTAATATTATATAATTTTTAAAAAAGGAAATAAATGAATGAGGGTATTAATCCATCCATCCATCATGTCTTCTGTGTGTCAGTACTCCATGCACTAAGTAGAAGGATTTTGAAGTCCGCCCTGTACCTGTACCCTGTACCAATGAAGAGAGAGAAGTGTGGGGGTTATGTGGTCATGCTTTCTGCTCCAAGTAACAATTCTAGCTGCTGCCTACTGTAAGTATTCAAACTCTTTGCTGTGACAAATCTAAAATACTTTAGGCAGACAAAATGACCTTAAAAGGCCACATTATTTTTGAGTAGTCTGTCTGTGCGCAGTAATAGTGGTTCACATGATTTCAGAATAAATACTCCTGTCTCTGTAACTTTCCTCGGTTGAATGTTTTGTATTTACGCCACGAATGCACTACTTTGTCATGTGCATGGTCACACTGGCCGTCCACACGGGCAGGAGCAGGGAAGACGAGGCTGCTCTGTATTGCCCCTGTGGCTCTCCAGCAGAGAGGAGCACTTCGCTTTCACCCTGAGCTGAAAGACCCAGTAATAAAGCTGAAAATCTGGCAAGTCTCCCAGTCTCCCTGGGGCGCTGAAGAGGATTTAATCTGATTCTGAGGTTCCTGTCACTCAACACAAAATTAGAACACGGCCAGTTATGAGTCTGTGAAGAAGTGACAGTGGTACAATGTCAAACAGGAAGTTAACCTGCAGGAAAGAATGAATTGAATCTCTGATATTCAAGCACACAGTGTGACGTCCACTGTCTATTCAAATCTGCTCTGCAAGTCTTACAATACTTTTTCATATATCATCTCTTGGTTATTGTTTTGTGAGTGCTTGAACTGTTTCTCAGTAGAAATAAGACC